CCCCCCGACCCCCTGGGGGGAGGGGGGCCCCCCCCCCCCCCCCGTGCTGCGGCTGTGTCTCCCTTGACAGCCGGTGGCGTACCCAGCAAATACGCCGACCGTTTGTTGGGGCGCCCTTTTTTCCTCTCCTGCGTGGCTGAGCCCCCCTCCATGTGATGTGGGTTCAGCCGGGAGGAAAGCGAGAGAGGCCGAGGGGACCCCGGGCTCCCCAGACTCTGCAGTGGTGCGTGTGTGCCCTCGAGGCCGAGCGCCAGGGCCCTTGCGGTGCCCCTTTCCTGACCCCACCTCTGACTCCCTCCGGTTGCAGGGGGGATCCTTGGTGCCATGTTCAATGCTCTGAACTACTGGCTGACGATGTTCCGGATCAGGTGAGGTCCTGGCGGGGCTCAGCCCGATTCTGGCCTCTCGGGGGCTGCCCTGTTCCACCCAGTCTCCGCCTCACCTGCACCTTGGCCCCTCGGTTCCCCAGGTACATCCACCGCCCGTGCCTGCAGGTGATTGAGGCTGTGCTGGTGGGGGCCGTGACGGCGGCGATTGCCTTTGTCCTCATCTACAGTTCTACAGACTGCCAGCCTCTCCAGGACAACAGCATGGCCTACCCGCTGCAGGTAGGGGGTCGCTGGGTGGGAGGCATTGAGCTGGGAGGAGCCCTGTTGCTGAAGGGGCCCAGGCTTGGGCTCAACAGGTGGGCCAACAGCAAGCAGAGCAGAGTTTCAAGCACGGGGGGGGGGGGCAAGGGGGGCAGGTGCTGCCGGACTGGCCAGGGGCTCCATGCATCTCCTTCGGTTCTGAGGCTCCCCCCGAATAGGGTGCTTGTGCGACGAGCTTCTCCTCTTTCTCCCCGTTTCCTTTTCACCAGCTCTTTTGCCCCGATGGGCAGTACAACTCCATGGCGGCTGCCTTCTTCAACACCCCCGAGAAGAGTGTGGTCCGCCTCTTCCATGACCCGCCAGGTCAGCTGCCTCTGCTGCCGCACCCGCAGGGATGGGGCTCAGCAGGGCTCACCTGGGAGCTGCCTCTGTGGCTGCAGGGGTACCTTGAGCGGCAACTTGCCAGCCACGGGGGCTGCTAAGCAGAACCAAACTACTCGGCGGGGTCTCCTTGGTCTTCTGCCGTGGAGCAGACCTCAGGGTTGTGCCAGGGCCCAGCTCATCCACCCCACCCCCCCGCTTCTCTTGGGGGGGGGGAGAGGAGTGAGGGTCTTCTGTTGCCCCCCTCCAGGCACTTACGACCCCATGACCTTGGGCTTGTTCACCCTGGTGTATTTCTTCCTGGCCTGCTGGACCTATGGGCTGACGGTGTCCGCCGGCGTCTTCATCCCTTCCCTACTGATCGGGGCTGCCTGGGGCCGCCTCTTCGGCATTTCCTTGTCCTACATCCCCCACAGTTTCGTGAGTCCGGGGCTCCCCCCCCCACCGGGAGAATCTTGAGGGAGGGCCTGGGGGTCCAAGAGGCGAGTGTCATTGCAGGGGCTGGCTGGAGCCCAGGATGCGTGTCTGGGCCACTTGGTCCTGATCCTGGGGTCAGTTCCTCCCCCTCCCCTGTACTATGGGGGCTCGTGGGGTAAGGGGGAGCCCCATCTGCCCTACTACCTGCTTCCTCTCTGGCTTCCAGATCAGGGCTGACCCAGGGAAGTATGCGCTGATGGGAGCCGCAGCACAGCTGGGTGAGTACGGAAGCCTTGGGCCCATTTCCAAGGCCTCCATGGTGGGGGGGGGGGGGGCGGGGGGGGGGGGGCAGGCTGGGCTTCAGCAGAGTCCAGTTCTGATGTGCATGTGTGTGCATGGTGGGGTGGGGGGCGAGCTTGGCCCCTTTGGCAGGAGCAGAGCCAGGCTGGGGAGGGTCAATCTGGCCGCTCTGGCTGGGCCGACCGCTGGATGCAGTTGGGTGGGAAAAGGGCTTTGGACACGGTGGAGCCTTCCTGGCTATTTGGGTTCCTGGTGGCCAATATGGCCGTCGTGTCTGAGGAGGCAGCAGCGCCTCCTCCTGGTGGTGGGGGGCGGGAAGGAAGGAGACGTGCCAGCGGGGGTCTCTTGTTCCAGGGGGGATCGTGAGGATGACGCTGAGCTTGACTGTGATCATGATGGAGGCCACGGGCAATGTCACTTACGGCTTCCCCATCATGCTGGTCCTGATGACGGCCAAGATTGTGGGGGACTTCTTTGCGGAGGTGAGAGGCTGCACCCTAGAGGGCTCCGGCGGGAGGTCGAGAGGCCCAGAAGCCTTTTATGCCCGTGGCGGCTGGGAGGGCACCACCCTCGAGGCCACCTTGGCGTGACTCAGGCCAGACGGGGCCTTCGGTGACTCAGTTTTCCCTCCTGGCTGCCGGCACAGACTTTCCAGCATCCGTCTGGCAGGACTGTCCTCCTGCCGCCAAACAAATTGTTCCGGAAAGTTCGTCTGCCAGGCCCTCCCCCCTGGTGGCCTCAGGGTCTCTCTCGCCCATCTTCAACCCCTTCTCCCCATTCCAGGGCTTGTATGACATGCACATCCAGCTCCAGAGTGTCCCCTTCTTGCACTGGGAGGCCCCGGTCACTTCACACTCATTCACGGCCACGTAAGTTGAGGGGTCGGGAAGGGGCCAATCGCCTCTCCCGCTTGTGCCCCCAGGGCTGCCCTGGGCCCAGCCTGAGCCTGGGCTCCCCTCCCTACAGCCAGGTGATGAGCACCCCGGTCACCTGCCTGCGGCAGAGTGAGAAAGTGGGGACCGTCGTGGACATCCTCAGCGACGCGGCTTCCAACCACAATGGCTTCCCCGTGGTGGAGAGCAGCCCTGGCAGCCAGCAGGTAGGCAAGTGTCCGCATGGCCTGGGGCCCTCCCTGAAGCCCCAGGGAGTCGCGGTTGCTGTGACAGGCTCAGGTCTCTGTTGCTCCCGGGGGGGGGGGGGGGGGCCCCCGCCAAGGGCCTCCTGGGCACTTCAGCCCCAGGCAGCCTTGGGGGGGGGGAACCCGGGGGGGGGGGGTCAGGGGTGGCGTTGCAGGGGCAGACAGGGAGACACTGAGCCCCCAGTGCCACCTGGCGTCTGCTGAAGGGGGGCCCCTCCTCTCTCCACTGGGCCTCCCACTGTTGCAGGGGAGCGACCCAGGAGAGCCTCTCTCGTTGCAGGCGATGGGCCTGCGGGGCCTGATCCTGCGCTCTCAGCTGATCGTGCTCCTGAAGCACAAGGTTGGTGTGCGCTGGCTGGGGGCAGCGGTGGGGAAGGCCGGGCGGCTGGGGCAGAGCCAGACCTTGAGCTGGGCTGCTCAAGGCCACCGTTGGCCGCAGGGGAGCCGGTCCGCTCCCTGTGGCCTGGGCCAAGTGGGCTGCCCCACGACGCTCCCTGTCTCACGGCAGGTCTTTGTGGAGCGGGCCAGCCTGTCTCTGCGGCAGCGGCGGCTGAAGCTGAAGGACTTCCGGGACGCCTACCCCCGCTTTCCCCCCATCCAGTCCATCCACGTCTCCCAGGACGAGCGGGAGTGCATGGTGGACCTGACCGAGTTCATGAATCCCTCGCCCTACTGTGTGCCGCAGGTGGGGGCCCCGGGGGAGGGGGGACACACTTCCCTAGCGGCCAGGCCAGGCAGCTGCAGGGGTGCCTCGCTCCTGGGCCCAAGCTGGCCCACCTGCTGCAGGGGCAGTGCGCTCACCTGAGGCGCCCACCCTCCGCCTGACTGGCCTGCCTTCCCCTTGCAGGAGGCCTCTCTCCCGAGGGTGTTCAAGCTCTTCCGAGCCCTGGGCTTGCGCCACCTGGTGGTCGTGGACAATCAGAACCAGGTAGGGCCCCTGCTCTGGTCCTTAGGGGGTGGGAAGAAGTGGGGTGTCTCTTGCCGGGAGCGGCTCCTCCAGCTGATGGGGGGCTGGGGCTGCTTGCCCAGCCTGAGCGGGTGCACCCGTCTTGCCTTGCAGGTGGTGGGGCTGGTCACGCGGAAGGACTTGGCTCGCTACCGGCTGGGGAAGAAGGGCATTGAGGAGATGCTCTTGGCCAAGACCTGACTTTGCTGGGCTGCTCAGATTCGTGTGCCGGAGCCTCCGGCTCTTCCCTTGCGGGGTACCGGCACAGAGGTCCCATCGGGGGCTCCTGCTCCCAGCTACACCCCTGGCTGCGCCCGCCTCCCCATGGCCCTCTTCACTGCTCTGCGCGGGGTGGGGGCTGCTGCAGGCTCCTCCGAGAGACCTGGTGGGGCCCAGAGAGTAGCGACGGCAGGCAGACCTGCTGCAACCTGGGCTTGGCATGGCTTTTGTGTGTCTCTCTCACGCCTTCACGGCTCTCGGCACATTTCCCTTGACCCTCCCCTCACCGCCTGTGCCTTCCAAGCCCTCCTCAGGCAGGCACCATGCCAAGCAGGCCCAGAGCCCGCCTCCTTCAGCTCCCTCCCCTCCAGCAAGGAGGGGGGCTTGGCCTGGGTGGGGAGGTGTGTCACCAGAGGGCTCTTTCCCTGCTTTTCTCTCTCTGGTTGAAACGGACCAAGCAAGGCTGGCCTTGTGCCCCCCCTTCACTGCTGCCCCTCCCCAAAACATCCAGAGGGTGTTAAGTTGGAGGAGGGGGGCTTCTTCGTCAGTTGGGCCGACCAGCAGCCCTTTTCCCGAGACTTTGGTTTTATCCTTTCTTCTGCACTGCGAGGCCTCGAAGCTTTGCTGTCTTCTACAGCACGCGCAGCTGTACCTCAAAAGTCCTTTTTTTGTGCTGAAATAAAAACGAATTAGGTTTTTCTCCCTTCTGCTCTTGGTCCTGATTGCCCTGGCTGTGCCACCCACAGAGCGAAGAGGGGCTGCGGCACAAGAAATGGAGCCGGAACAAAAATGGTGTAGAAGTTGGATGTGGGAACCTCCATTCATTCCCCCCCACCCCGCCAAGCAGCAGTTTCCCAGCACCAAAGCCAGGTCTCTTAGCAACTGCACCCACAGGGGACCTATTGTGACGCTCCATTAGGCAGCAGCCTGGGCCCCTCCCTCCTGACTGGTGCACTGGACACCCCACAGGTGAAGAGATGGCAAGTGGGTGCAGCTTGCCGGACGGGCCATGAGGTCTGGCTATGCGGCCTTGGTGCTCGGGTCCCTGGTGCTGCAGAAGGACCTCAGCGGGGGACCCTCCCTCCGGAGCCGGACTGCTCGGGAAGCGGATGGAAGAGATGACCCTGCTGGCTCCTGCCCAGAGGGAAACCTGCTGCCCCAATTCCAGCACCTGTTGTGTTCGCAAGGCTTCTGCTGGATCTCGGAGACGACCTGGGGGTTCCCCCTGGCTGGGGCAGTCCTGCTGCTGTTCTGGTTGGCCTTCGAAATCTGGAGCTCCTCCTGCCTGGCCAGGTGGCAAGCCCAGCTCAGGCAGCCTGTCGCTACAGACAGCCAAGCAGCGCAGCCCAGCTCTCCTCCCCCCTTGGTAAAGAGATGGCTTTGCGTATTGCGTTCTCTGATGCAGTCCTGGGCAGCTTGCATAACACACCCACCAGCCCGGAGCTTGGCTGACCAAAGGCACCCATGAGCCTTTTTCCCCCAGGGCTTTTCTGCATGAGCTGAGCCCCGTCTGAACACGGCTCTGAAGCCGCCCCCGCCCCTCCTCCCCCCCCCGTTGTGGCAGGTGGAGAGTCTAGGTTTGCAGAGGGTCCTGGGGAAGCAGGGAGATCAGCCAGAAGTACAAACTCCCACTTGCGGGGGTGGGCTTTGGAAAGGGGGGCATGAGTGTTGAGCGGAGTTGACCCCGCTTTGCAGGGTCAAAGTGGGCACCCACCATATCCAGCTTCCTGTCTGCAATTGCCGGCAAGAGGCTTGGGAAGCCGATGGGGTAGACTGCCTCTGAATATGGAGGGGTCATCTTTCAGTGGTACAGAATGTGTCCTTCAAGCATTGGAAGGGTGGCGTTAAAACAGGTGACCCTGAACCACCTTGTCCTTAATTTTCTATGGATCTATCTGGGACTGGCTGTATTTCAGAGGGAGGGCTTGTCCGGGGGCAGGTCGTTGGCCTAGATACGCCCAAGTTGACCCAAAGCATCCTGGTTTTTCTGAAACGATGGACTGTCCCATACAAGGACAAGTCACCATGGTTTACAATAAAACAACATTTGATAACAAATCCAAACCATATAAATCATCTCCATTCAAAACACGTTACACGTGTCTGTCCAGGGAAGGAAATTGGAAGCAGAAATCAACTCCCCCTCCCTTTGCCCAGAGGAGTCCTGGCAGGTCAAGGTGGCCCCAAAGAGACCGTTGTAGGGATCCCTCCAGAGTGCAGGTGCCAACTCGGCCAAGCCCTCCCCAGAGCTGGCAGATGGCACCCTATGGGCAGCAGAAGCAACCTGGACGTTGGTGCCCTGCTGAGCCTGAGAGAGTCCTCCACCCTCGTGCTGAAGCAGGCGAGCTGCCCATGGTTCCCCAAACCGGAAGGGACCAACTTAACCTTTTATTAAGTTTGCTACGATTCACCTCGTGCCTTTGGGAGGCCAGAATGCATCTTCACCATGAGAAAACTTGAAACCCAGTAACATTTTTCCCCATTACAGCCTGAAGCAGAGTGCGAAGAAGAGAAAGACTTTCCAGCCACACAAGCAAAACGTATGTTTATTCCAACCTCATCTTTCCCTGGACTACCGCTGGCCCCAGTGGCATTAGATCTCCAAGTTCACCAGGAATGGTGGCTGTTTGCGCTGTGAATGGGAGCCGGTGGCACCTCTCCCCCCATGAAGTTTCAATCCGAGCCCGCCCTGCCTTTTCAAGCTTCAGCAGGAAGGCTCCCCTCTTGCTGACCTAGGAGGCCTCTTGCAGTTGTAGAACTCAGGTTTAAGACTTTCCAAAGGCAGCATCGATTCTCTTCCTTCTCCACTGTTCAAAGAGATCCCTTGTCAGGTTTTTCTTTTCAATAGTAAGATAGTCAAGGCAGCTTGATGGATGTTTTAAAAATGCTTTCTATAAGTCGATTAAAAATAAATAACAAATATATCCTTTTTTCTGTTCTAGACTCCAGCTGCATTTGTGGGAGGCAACTAGCATCTGATTTTGAAAGGTAGGTGAAATCTCTGCCAATGCACTTTCTGCCCTCTCCATAATGGCAGAAAAACTCCTTTGTGGAGGCCACTCAAGGCTGTGAGGAGCTGGCTGGGCCCCTTGTGTTGCTGGGGAAGGCTCAGTGGGGCTCACCTATCTGGGCATCCTAAAACAGTCGTAACAGGTTCTCCAGGCAAATTAAGGTCCGGAGAATTCCCAAAAGGGCAGGGATGGGCATGGTGAAGAAGTGCAGTGGTTATTTTTTTTATAAATGGGGTCATCTGGAAGTGGAAACACTTTTTTCTCTGCTTTTTTCTTTATTTCTACAGTTATGAGCTGCCTTGTCAGGTGCACAGACATCCTTATGATCCACACCAAACTCCACAAAGCGTGTGTCAAGATGAGAACTTATACCAAAAGTACCTCCCCTGTCTACCTCCTTTGTTACGGAGCACTGCGATTCTGCCAAAGCACTCCTCCTCCTCCTCCTCTTCCTCCCCCTCCGGCTCCTCCTCCTGCTTGCCGCTCCTAAAACACTTGAACTTGCGCTGTCATGTGGCTACAGATGCTTCTCGGACAATGCACGATTCCTCTGAGGCTTCCGAAGCCAGCAGCTCTGATTCTTCTTCCTCGGATTCAGAAGATCTTTATTTTCTGAAGAAAAGAAAACAACATGGGCCATCATTTATCCCTTTATTCCCAGAAAGACTTCCTGAAATAAAAGGCGCACCACTGCTTCCGGAGAGTCATCCTGAAATTAAGGGAGCCCCGCAGATGTCTGTTGCACAAATAAACATTGTCGAGAGCTCCACTTTTGAAAAGGAGGATCAGGTCATTTTGGTGGAGAAATCTCTTGAAATCCGCATGGGGCCCCTGCCAGCCCCCACAGCCCCCGGCTCCCTTCCCAGCTTGAGAGTCAGGGATAAAGAGGCAGCGGGAGAGAGACCTTCGCCCTTCCCCTTGCTGGATCAAATGGCCATCCAGTGCCTTGACTTCAGGGTGAAGGAGCAGCAGGAGGAACTTGCAGAGAAAACCACAGAGAAATCCTCCCCCAAACCTTCCTCTGAAAAAGAGGAAGAGCCCACTCAGCCCTTCAAGGTCACTGCAGACCCTGTGGACGGCCTGCCTCCCAGGGACTCAGAGGAAGTCCCAGCTGTTCTAAAAGCAATGGACGAGAAAAGGAGAAACTTCTTGGAATTTCACATCAAGAAGAAAATGGTTCAGAGACGGTGTGGAGTTCCCACTGTGGTCATCAACTCTGTGAACCGGTTTCAATCCGTGGGGAAAAAATCCTTCCGTGAGGATCTTAAAAAAACGATGCAAAATGTTTTACTAATCCCAAGGGAGGCTGAAGCATCAGCGCGCCCTGCCTTCCTCCCGAGAAACGCCATGGCCTTCTACACGAAATCTTTGCAGGAACCTCCAGGAGCCAAAGGGCACTATCTTTTTCACAAAGCAAACCCAGAAGAAATCAGAAAAGTGGGCTCCTTCCCTGCTCCCGAGGAGCTGGCCCTTAAACCAAGAGATTCCCAGAGAAGTCAAAGAAATTGCGTTCTTTTCTCAGTGGAGCCAGAAAAACTCCAGAAGCTGCTTTTCCATTTAACAGTGAAAATGGTGGAAATCCAGAAGGAAGCCTTTCCTGAAATGGTGGAGGACTCCCTCCGCACCTTCAACATCCTGTCTGTAAAGCCTCTGCCGAAGCCAATCCGTTTTGGCAACAAAATCTCAAGGCCCCTCTCGCTGGCCTTCATGGCCCAGGAGGCGCTCTGCATCATTGATTTCAACATCAGCCACAAATACATGGTCTTCACCTGGGGAATCCCCACCCCGCACTCAAGACCCACGGAAAAGGCTACCCGGGGCCTGTCAAAGCCCGCCCAGGGAGTCCCTCAGAAGCCCCCCATTCCCATCCTGGTCCTGAAGTCTCCCAGGAAGGGGGCCTCGTCCCCCGGGGGGGCTGAGTCAGGGCAAATCCTCCTGATTCCAAAGCCCCCACGGCTCCAGGCCCCCCACAGAGCCTGCCTGGCTCCTGCAGAAGAGCCCCAGGAGGTCCAGTTCACAGACCACTGGAAGCAGAGCTGCTTGGCTCCCGGCGCTCCTTCCAAACCGGCCAGAGGAGCCCCTTCCCGGTCCCTGGCAAGGCCTCTCAGAGATGCCCCCGCCCAGGAACGTGTGGAAACCGAAGCTCCGGGTGAAGTGGCTCTTGCCAGGCCTTGTCCTGAGAGCCAGGGAGCTGCTGGCAAAGGCAGTCCCAGCACCAAGCCAGAAGCCGCAGGGGATGGGAAAACCAGGACGCTTCTCAGAGCTGCAGCAAACGTACAGGAGCTGCAAGACCGGCCTTGCTCTACAGGTCTCCCGGCTCCCCTCGAGGAAGGAGAGAAGGCAGCTGCGAAAGAGGCAGGAGGCAAGAAAGGTGGGGGCCAGCAGGAAGAGCCGGAAGGCCCGCTGCCCTACAGGGCTCTCCCACTCTCCCTGGAAAGGGGGCCAAGCAGACGGGATGCAGGCAGGCAGGGAGAGCTGGAAGGGACCATGCACTACGCGTCCACGCCCCCCCAGACAAGAGCAGGGACTGGAAGCAGAAAAGGGGAGCCTCAACAGGCGGAGCTGGAGGCAACGATGCACTACAGGGCTCTCCCACCGTCCCCCGAAGAGGGGCCTGGCCAAAGAGACGGCGACGAAGAGGGAGAGCTGGAGGGGACCATCTGCTACCGGGCTCCCTCCGAGACCCCCAAGAAAGGCGCAGCGACAGGAAGGCCAAGAGATGCGGACCGAGCGGCAGAGCTGGAAGGCAGGCTGCGCTACGCCGCCGGCCCCGACACGGGAAGCAGAAAAGGCGGCGAGGGCCAGGCGGGGCTGGAAGCAACGATGCATTACAGGGCTCGCTCCCGGTCCCCGGAGAAGGGAGCGAGGGAGGGGGACGCGCTCGCAGAGCCGGGCGGGACAGCCGAGGCCGAGGGACAAAGAGCCGCAGCGGAGCGAGCCAGGAGCGCGCAGAGATTCCCCCCCGCCCGCGCAAGCGACGCCGGAGTCCAGAGCAGCGGCCAGACGGACGGAAAAGAAGCGGTGGCGCTCAAGGAAGGCCGGACCGGCCGGAAGGGCCGGGAAGGAGCGCCCCGCGGCGAGGCCCTCGCCCTCTCGGTGGGCCTGCGGGCGGCGGGGAGCCGGCGGGACGCGCCCCCCACGCGGGCCAGCCTCTTCCTCCAGCTGGACCTGGCCCGGGAGAAGCTCCACCTGCGCTTGCAGAAGCGGCTGGAGGCGGCGCTGCGGCCGCGGCAGAGGGCCGGGCTGAGCCTCCGCGTGGAGACGGGCGCGGGGAAGCGACGGGGGCCACCGCCGGCCCGACCCTTCTGCTACGCCTGCCCGGCCCCGGAGCGCCGCGGGGCCGCCGTCAAGACGGTGTGCTGGGCGCTGCCGCAGCGCATCCTGGACATGAGCGGCGGCCGGGTGCCGCAGGTGGCCCGCCTGGAGCGCCGGCCCGGGAAGCCCCGCAGAGGCGGCCCGCAGAGGCGGCCGGACAGGCGACGGCGAGGCGCTGGACAGGGCCGCCCAGGGGAGGCCGCGCCGGGGGCCATTAAACCGTTTGCTTGACAGCCGAGTCTGGGGGTGTCTTCCGGGCGCGCGGCGGTCTGGGGTCCTCGGCCGGAATTAGGCCTCCGGGCTCCCGCGGGCTCCGCCGCTTCCCGGCCAGCCACGAGCGACAGGCAAAGGCGGCCCTGCGTGGCCGACTCCGGGGCAACGGGGCGGGAACGCATGCGCACGGAGAACCAACAGTCCCTTTTCGTGCGTTTGCGCAGCGCGGCACCGCGAAGCTCGACCTGCCCTCACTTCGGAGCCCACTTCAGGGCGGAGCGTCTCGCGCAGCAGGGCGGGGACATCCGCGCGCGGTTCTCGGGAGCGCCGCCAGCCTAGATGGGAGCGAAGCACCCCGTTCAACGCAGGCGCGGTGGCCAAGTGGTAAGGCGTCGGTCTCGTAAACCGAAGATCACGGGTTCGAACCCCGTCCGTGCCTCGCGAGTTCCAGCTGCCCCTTGGCTTACCCCGGCAAGGGGGCGACAGGAGGAATGGAAGAGGGGCTCATTTTTAGGGCGGTCCGCCGCCGTCGGCGGCAGTTCCCACACGTGTCAGGGGCACCCCCCCTCCATTTTCTAGTGGGCAGCCGTCCGCGCTTCGAGACATCGGGAGCTCGGTCGACATCCCACGCGGGAAAGTGGACGGGCGGCCGCCTTATCTCCCTTATCACCCCGCAGTCACACACCCCGCCCTCCCGTCTGTGGATCCCTGCGGCTGCGTCCAGTGGCTGCCCCGCGGGCGGAGGAACAGGCCTTCCTTTCCAAGCGGCTAGTCCTCAAGGGCTGTCCTGCCGGGGGCGGGGAAACTCCCGGCCAGCCTCTCCGCGGCCACACCCCTGCCAGGCAGTCTTTGCCCCGCGGGCGAGGAGCGCCGTCCGAGCGGAGCAGCGGTAAGTGCCCCGGCGCGCCCGGACAGGTGGCCCGCGAGGGTTCAACTCCGCTGCCCGCCGGACGGGCCATGCGCCTGGGCTGGGCTCGCCGTCAGTCAGAGGGTCCCGGGCTGCTCTTGTGGCGGGGGGTTCCGCGGGCGGAAAGCCGGGGGAGGCGCGGCGGGTCCTCGGACTGGCGCGGGGGAGGCTCTTCAGCGAGGCTTCGCAGCCCTGGCGCGGCCCCGCCCCCTCCCAGCCTGGGAATTCTGGGAGTTGCAGAATTGCAGTCCAAACGCCCGGGGGGCTTCGTTGTCCCCCCCCCCCCCCCCCGCAGTGAGCTCTGCTGCTCGGGACGTTTCGCTGAGCGCGCTCAATTTCGCTGACGCCCCGTTTCCGTCCGAAAAAGAGCGAAATGAGCGAGATATCGCGGCTGACCCCGGCTGGGGGTCCGGAGAAACGGCCGCAGGCGGGAGGAGCCGGCGGGCTCCCAGCTGAGAAGATTCGCGGCTGACAGCCGGAGCCCGCCCGGCTGGGCAAAGAAAGGGCGCTCCGGCCGGGCTGCCTAGGGCGGGAGTGACCCCGCGGTCCCTCGGGGCGGGGGCTTGCCTTGCGGGAGGCCGCGGGGGCCGGTTTTGCGGGTGGGGGGGGAACCCCCCCCCCCCCCGGGAGGCTGTGAATCCAGAGTCGGGGTTTTGGGGGCGAGATGAGCTTGCTTGGTACCCAACTGGCCCACAAAGTCCCGCTTCCGGGCTCGCCTTCTGCTCTCGGGCGCCGCGGGGCTGGGGGCTGTCCAGGGAAGCGGCTGAAGGAAGGGGGTGGGGGGGCAGCCCAGCCCCTCCGTCGGCATCCGCCTTCTATGCAGGTGGGGGGGGGGGCTCAAAGAGCTCAGAGTCCCAGCCAAAGTGGAGGCTGTCCTAGGGAAATTGGGGGTTGGTGGTGGCTGGCAAGACCATCAAACAGGCCTTTGAGTGGCAGCAGGCACAGCGACCGAGCCCCTGGGCGGGGGGAGCAGCTTCTGGAGATCCGGAGGGGCTTCCGAGCGAGGCATGCCTGCGTGTCCTGGGGGGCTGGAGAACTCAGGCGTGCATCCTCTGCACAGGAACTGCTGGAAGGTCAGCTGAGGGAGGGGGAGCAGGTGGGCCCCCCAACCACCGGTTGCTCTTTGCGCAGGGAAAATGAGGGACTTTTGGGGGCAGCTGTGTTTTTCCATGCTACCATAATGCCCCTAAAAATCCTTATTGCTCTTGCCGTGTATCTCAAAGCTGGGCCAAGGAGTGAGTGTGCAGACTACGTTGTTTCAGGGCAGCTGCTGACCCGGGGAAACTTCCTCCCAGGGACCAGGCAGACTTCAGACTTGGCCTTGGACAACTTCCTGACTCTTCCCTCCTCCCCCAATTCATTGCTAAACGGGGCTGCCAAAAAGCCAGTCTTTCCATCCTTTGTCAGAGGCGTGAAGGTTGAGGACGGGGCATGGGGACTAATCGCAGCATTCGTGGGCTCCCTGCACCCCTAAGGCCACTTTGGCCATCAGAGAGTCTGCCAGAGTAACCCCACAACAAACACCCATTCCTGCCTGTCCAACTCAGCTTATCTAGGCTGAAGAGGAAGGGATTATCCCTGGGAAAAAGAGCCTCCCAGCAGAAGGGACAGTCCCCTTGACCCCTGGTGGTACAGGGCAAAGAACTGACCCTGCCCAGGTTTCCCTCCTACTGGACATTGCTTCGGACAGTGACACAGAGTGGTGCCCACAGCTTTCCACAGCTGGCTGCTACAAAAGAGGTGAGGCCGCTGAAGCAGCAAAAAGGAACAGCCCATTTGCTTGCTGGCTCCCCGTTTTCCTTCTGCCAGCAGCAACAGAAAGTGGGAACTCCAGGGAGGAGCTGGGGATACTACCTTTCCGCAAGGAAAATGGCCTCCCTCGGCTGTGCCAGCTGCTGCAGCACCCCCAGCAACTGTTATGTCCTCCCTCTGGAGCCAGAGTGGGTGCCTGGCCCTCCCTTCAATGATTAGCCTTCCACAGGAGGAGCCCCGTTGGTGGGGCGGCCGTTGCTGCAGCCGGGCCAGCTGCTTATCAGGCAAAGAGAAGCCCACGAGCCACTCCAGGTGGAGGATTTACGTGGCTGCAGGAGAAAAAAAGGGCCCAGCCTTAGAAACATAAACAGAGTTAGATTCCTCAGAAAAAGATTCTTTATTTTTTCACTGTCAGGAAGTAACATTTTTCATTCCACGATACAAAAACGTTAAATATCAAACCAAGTTTATGAAATCTACCAAAGCAGATTGATTTTTCAAACTAATAAAAGCTGGTGAAGCTGCTGGTTTATCTTGTATCTTTTTAAATATAGAATGCTGGTCACAAATCAAAGGAAAAGGTGCCCGAGAGGCTTCCCTCCCCTCCAGGTACAGTATGCTGTTCTCAAACTTAACATGAAGCTTCATGACTCTTTTCTTTCCCAAAGTGAAAGGACAGTTTCTCTTTTAATTGGGAGGGGGGGAGAAAATGCACTTCTACTACTGCAAAAGACGGCAGGGAAGAAAGTGGTGGAAAGTGCCCGGCTGGCCGCTGATGTGCCTGAATGTCTGCAGGGGATCAAGGGGACCAGCAGAGCAAGCTGCACACAGACTCTGTGAAGTTTCTCAGCCACGCTACAGGAGTGGATGGTCCCGCCCAGGGCTTGGCCTTTCGATCTAATACACACGACAGCAAAAGGCTTTCACATAATCAAGGGAACGGACATGTACACACATGCATACACATAAAAACAGGGACTGTGATTGTTCAGTAGAGATCAACAAAGCAGATTTCCAAGAAGCGCCCTGCTTCTCCTTTGTGCACCAGCCACCTCTCTTCATTCAGGGTGGCTTGGGAGGACTGTGCTGCCGCTGGTTCCTTGGAATGGAAGCCCTTTCATTGGTGCTCCTGGCAGCTACCATGTGTCCGGCACGTCAAAAAGCCTGGCGGGAGTGGCCTTGAGCCCCCCTACAAGAAGCACAGCACAACCACACAACTGAGCAAACACAGAACCCAACCCTCTCACGCCAAAGCCTCTGTCCATGCTGGCTGGGATGCATCCTGGGCCAGCAATCGTCTTGTGCCGCCCCCCCCCTCCCGCCGCAGCTCCCCCAAGGAGACTCCTCCTCCTCCTGGGCTGATTGTTAAGGAGTGTGGAGAGTGGCTGGGTGGGAGGATGGGGTTGAATCATCTGAGCGGCCTCAGCAGCTCCGTTTGGTGTGCTTTGAGTACCCCAATGCTGGGCAAAATAAAGACGACAACTGGGGTGCAGTGATCTCCTTTGCCCGTTCTTTTATCGGTCATTCAAAGTTCTGAGATTATGTAGAAAACCACAAACTGACAGTTTCCCCTCCCTCTAGGCCTGCTGGTCAGCAAACGAGCTGTCAGATCAAGCACCCTGCAGAGACCACCTACCATCCAATGTTTCTTCCCTTTCGCCCGTCCTGAGCTTCTTGGCTTGCTTCTCCTCTTCTTCAGGGGGCTCCTGGAAGGAGCCTGGGGGGGGCAGGTCTACCTCTTGCACCGTGGCCTCCTCCACGTCATCTGTGATGCTCTCCTCTTGGATGGGGCTCATGCTTCTCTTCCCCACAGAGCTGGGCGTTGAAAAACTGGGGCAATGGGAGAAGCCCAAGAGGGAGACATTTTAATCTGTGGGGGCTCCCAGGGAGCATCCTGAAGCAAGGAGGAGGAGGAGGAGGAGCGCAATCCTGCCCTGCTGTCCTTCCTAAGGCCATCTCCAGCTGTTCTGTTCTCCTGCACAATCCTGGTTTGTGTCACAGAACAGCTGCCCAAACTGGGTCTTCTTCAAGCCGGACTGGTCATCTGCAACGGCCCCGGTCATCCAAGCAGATGTTTCTGTCTCCTTGGAAGCGGCAGGCCTGCCATCAGCACTTACTCTCTGGCTAAGCCCCAACTGCCGCCATCTTTCTTGTGCCAGTTCAATATATGAGTGCTTCTCATTTCTGTTCGGCCCTTGAAATGTCATCCTGGCAGAGCAGCATGCCTGCTTCTTCACCTGTACTTTCAAACTCCTAGGCTGTTAGCAGGACAGGGCTGACTTGGTTCCCGCATGGGGCAACCGCACTGCCCCCTGGCATCCAGACAACCAGACTCCTCCGGCCTCCCAAACTCGGAAAG